AGGGAGGACGGCGGGGAGGGAGGACAGCAGGGAGGGAGGACTATGGGGAGGGAGGACTATGGGGAGGGAGGACACGCGGGGAGGGAGGACACCGAAGTGAGGACACGGCGGGGAGGGAGGACTATGGGGAGTGAGGACACGGAGGGGAGGGAGGACGGCTGGGAGTGAGGACAGCAGGGAGGGAGGACGGCGGGGAGGGAGGACGGCGGGGAGGGAGGACGGCGGAGAGGGAGGACGGCGGAGAGGGAGGACAGCGGGGAGGGAGGACACAGAGGAAGCAAAGACATGGAGGAGAGAGGACACGGAAGGAATAGAGGACACGGTGAGGAGAGGGGACACGGCGGGAAGAGGACAGTGGGGGAAAGGGGAGGTCTGGAAGCAGCCTGTCCAGGAGTCTGTCCAGGGCGCGGCCTCAGGGCTGAGCTGGGCAGCGCAGAGTCCGTGCTGTGTCTACTCGGTGCTGGTTCCGAGCAGCCGCCCAGCTAGGCTACCGCTCTCGGTCTCTCCGTGTGGGACATGAAGAGGGCAGAAGAGCACACACAGGGAGCAGCAACCAGGCCAGCAGCCTAGCAGGTCAAGCTCCCTCAAGACCCAGTGTCCACCGGCCGCCCCCTCCCCCGCGATGGCCGCTCTGAAGGGGCAAAGCGCACCCCACGGCTCTCGTCCAGCCAGCCAGGCCGCTCAGGGGCCAGGAGCACCAGGGAGGTGCTCACTCCTGAGACTGGCCACCCGCACAAGGCCAAGTGCAGAGGAAGGTGCAAGGAGGACCCAAACGGGGTGAGGGGGGACGAGCCAGTGCAACCCCACCAGGCAACCAGTTACGGCAACAGACCCCGCGTGGACGCATGGCCGCTGGGAGTCAGGGCACTCGGCCTTCACTCAAACCCCTGCATGGGCAGTGGGGAAACACCACCGGCACCAACAGGCAGTAAGACCGTGGGAAAGGCCGCGGACGGAGAGGCCCAGGCCATCCGTGAGCAGGCCCGCCTGGGACAGGCCTCAGCCGTGCTCAAGCTTCTAGGGCAGCAGCTGGCGATGGGACAGACCTCTCTCTGGCCCTGAGGACCCGCGGGCAGCCTGTCTGCCTGCCAGACGGAACGCCGACGGATGATGGACAGACGGACAGCGGGCACAGCCCCTCCCCCCCGCTCTCACCTGCAGCTCCCTCAGGATGGAGTGGCTGTCTTCGTGGGAGTACTTCTGCTGGGTTCGTAAGGAGATGATATCGTCCTGCGAGGGAGAGAACAGGACTGTGAGGGACGTGCACTTTCCCCACCCCCCCAGAATCAGCCTGCACCCCACAGAGGTGGCAGGGACCTCATTGTTCAATCCCGGGAGCTCCAGAATCCCTAGACCCCAGGGATGGCTATGGAGACCTTCCTGAAGTTTCTCAGGAGGAGGTCGAAAGCCTTGGGAGGGTCAGGGGCTGTGGGCAGGGCAAGGCATTCAGCCCCAAGTCTCTCAGCTGCACCAAACTAGGGACGACACAGTGCGGGTCAGAGCTGGGGAGTTCACACTGGTGAAGCCCCGGCTTCACTCCTCCTCACAATGACCCCAAACCATGCATGATGCAAAAACACCACCTGGTTTAAACTCTGGACCATCAAGTCAGCTCCGAGGCTAAACCCTGGCGTGAGGACACTGTCCACCTTTCTCCTGGGGAGCTGCCAGTGGATTGGAGCTGCGGAGATGCCCAACCTCTGGGTTACCAGTTAGCAGTGCGTCACCATACGAACTACCCCCAGGGCAGCCACTGCACAGGCAGAGGGCCCCAACGAGGGGGTCAGTGGACACAGCTCACGGGCCATATAAGCTGACTCTCCAGAGGGTTTTCAGGACGTCATACCTCACGGGAAGAGATTGCCCATACCTCTCCTGTGAAGTAGCCAGTGAGTCTGAACCCTGTGCCTTTGGATGGCAGTGCAACTCTTCACCATTAAACCACGACAGCTCCAAACGCAATATATGTAATTTATTCTAAATTCTTGTTAAGTTTGAACATATTATACACAAGTAATTTTAATAAATTACTTGTAAATATTCACTTATAAATAAACTACTTGGAAATCTAGTTATAAAGAAATATTAAAAAGCCAACTCGTTACCTATCCGCCAAGAAAATTTAAGTAATGCTTTAACAGAGATGCAGAGGCTGTCTCGCCTCGGATAGGTGAACCTGAGGGGCACGTACTGAGCAAAATAAGGTGAAGGACGATACTGCCGTGAGGTCACTGTTACAGAGGCTACCAAGGTGCCCATATAAATAATGAAAGAAATCAGTTCATTTTATCAGGGAAACAGAAAAGGACCCTCCAATCTTTAAAGAAGAGGCGTGTTCCCACTGTTTTCCTGCAGAGTAATGAGTGGATTCGAACCGCAAGCCCTTGGGACCAAGCCCAGCTTCTGATTGTGAGAATCTCATCACTTAGACATTAAAAACAGGCTGCCTCGCCTTTGCGCTGATACCAAGTAAGTCCTAGTGACTCTGGAAGACAGAAAAGAACTGCCTCATAGGGACTGTGCTTCATAGGGACTTCAGGAACATGGTGCTGCCAATCCAAAGGTGCGTGGTTTGAATCCACCAGCTTCTCTGAGAGATGGGCAGTCTCCTCCTGCGGGATTTACCACCTCTGAAGCCCGCCGGAGGGTCACCTGTAGGCCAGCTCTGACCCTCACCACCCCGCTCTGGCATGTTTTACCCTCATCATCCCACCAGGCCTGGAAGACCTGCCCCCTCCTGTCCACCTTCAGAAGGCAGGACCAGGAAGACTCCTCGCAACGCTGGAGATGGCCACCAGGGGACGGTGGTGGTGCGCCCAGATGCGGTGGCCACCATGAACAGGGGTGTTTGGGGTGTCTATAGGGGCGGCTGTACCCCGCTTCCCACGGAACGTGGCCCCAGCTGTCAGATCTCGTTTCCCCAGAAATTAGACATTCAGATTCTTCAGGTAGGATATCCTATTTTTCAAATACTGACAATGAATTGAGAATTTAAAAAATTTAAAAGAGGAACAGGCAACCAAATGGAGGCTGGCCTCACAGCCTCCTGCCCCCCTGACCTGCACCCCCAGCCAAGGCTGAGTCAGATGCTGAAATCTTAGTTCTGTTTTGGTTTTTACTGATACAAGCCACCAACATGGCGGCCACTGAGCGGACAGAACTGTCTGAGGGCGTCCAAAGCGGCTTTCTACACGGAATCTACCTCACCTTTGCCCTCGGCTTTCTACGGGGAATCTGCCTCACACCTCTGCCCTCTGAGGGGCTGGGGGCTGAGACCACTGACAATGGGACCTGCTGCCAAGGGCTCTAACCACCGCACCACCGGGGTTCCCCCCCTTTACATCACAGATTTGCCTGTAAGCCCTACTTCCTACTGTCCATTCACTCACAAGGACTCCGTGTGCATACACACACACACACACACACACACACACACACACACACACACACCCTGGCCAAAGCCGATGAAACAAGCAAGTGAGGGAGCAGATATGAGGAGATGCTACACCATGTGAAGATCACGTAGGAGTCAAGTCATAGGAATCACAGGACAAACACCTCCCAACTACGACAGAGAGAGAAAGACCTCCCTGGGACCTAGTGTCCAGTTTCAGATTCCCAGACCTTTAAACTGTGAGAAAATAAAGCCATTTGCTGAAGCCACCCCTTGTGGTATTTGTTATGAAAGCACTCTATAACTATCGCACAAGCCATGGATTAAACTTTAGTATCCATGACAGTAGGGGATGACCACATCATGATGGTTGGGGGATGACCACATCCATGATGGTTAGGGGATGACCACACCCACGATGGTTAGGGGATGACCACACCCACGATGTTTAGGGGATGACCACATCATGACGGTAGGGGATGACCACACCCATGATGGTAGGGGATGACCACATCATGAAGGTAGGAAATGACCACATCATGAAGGTGGGGGATGACCACATCATGATGGTAGGGGGATGACCACATCATGATGGTAGGAAATGACCACATCATGATGGTAGGG